CCTTTTTCATCCTTTTATTTTCATCCAGTATTTGTCTTTAGATCTAAAGTGAGTTTCCTGTAAATAGCATATGGTTGTATTCGGCAGGTAATTAGTCAGCCTGAGGGACAGAGATCAAAACAATAGGCTTTGCTAGTAACAGAATTTTTTTTGGCTGGCTCAGGTTGCCTTAAGGGCAGGTCTGGTGAGGCAGGTGGAGCTGGGGGTTGAACCACGGTATCCTGAGCCTAACTGGGTTTGCATGAGCTGGTACTTAAACAGCTGAGCTAACCAGCAGGCCCCTTAATGACAGATAAACAGAAATCAAGACCTCAGGCATAATAACTTATAATCACCTATTATGTCAGAAGTGTGCACAGCTACAGCACCTGGTCAGTCAAGATTTCATGGCCTGCTGGGGAGATAGCTTGGTGGTCTAAGGACCTACCTGGCAAGCAGAAGGACAAGGGTTCGATCCCCAGTACTACATGCCATGCCGGCCTCAGAAGCTGAGTGTGCTGTGCCAGTCACTGAAACTGGATGTAGTGGTGCACACCTATAATCCCACTGCCGGGAAGGCTGAGACTGGAGGATCACTACAAGTTTGAGCTGTGAAGAGACTTTGTTCCAAAAAAATAAATACATACATATATACATATTTTTTAAAAGACAAAAAATTTCAGGGTCTGACTCTTATATTGGGGCAACCAGACCCTCAGCATTCCTAGTTGCTATGGCCAATGCCCACTGATAACACAAAAGTACAAAAGTAACATTTTAAGAGCTACCTGTGATTTACACTAAAACAACCTAAATTAAACCTTTTCTTATTTAGGTTTCTTTTAAAAACATGACAAGGAAGGTGCGGTGGCACATACCTGCAATCTCAGTACTTGGGAGGTTTAGACTGGAGGATCACTGCAAATTCGGGATCAGACTAGGGGCTACAAAAATGAGCACATGGCCAGAACAAGGGCCGGGGACACAACTCAGTGGAATAAGTGCTTCCCTGGCAAGCGCAAGGGACTGAGTTCAATCCCTGGTTCCGCAAAAAAAAAAAAAAAAAGCCGGAAAAAACTGCAAAGGAGACCCTGTGTGTGTGGGGGGGGGAATCCAAGCTCCCCAGTGAAATTTACTGCAAATGTAGTAATAAAGTTAGGGGAAAAAAACACACACACACACACAAGGACCAAGGAGCCCTCCTGCTAATCCATGGTTGGAACATAGCTTAACTATAAAATGACAAAGTACAATTGTATATACTTATGGATTACAAGATGATGTTATGATTTATAAAATGGAATGATTAAATGTGGCTACTTAATATTTCTGTCAATTCAGAACTAGCCACATAGGTCAGTGGATTAAAGCGCCTGCTTAGGCAGACACAGGGACTGGGGTTTGATCCCGGGCATGCTGTGCCATGCTGTGCAGTGCCAGGCCCCTGCCCTCAGGGTGCCTGAGACTGGACATGGTGGCATATACCTGTAATCCCAGTACTTGGAAGACTGAAAACAGGAGGATCACTATGAGTTCAATCTGTATAGTGAGACCTTGTACTAAATACATAAAAATAAATAATTTCCCTCAACTCACATATTTACCATTCTTTTTTTTTTTTTTTTTATTTTTGTGTGTGTGGCCAGCTCAGCCCACCAGGGGGCGGGGCTGGCTGGCATATGGTGCTGGGGGATTGAACCAGGGTCCCTGTGCTTTGCTTAGTTTAGCTTGTTCTAAGTAGGTGCTTTAGACCACTGAGCCATCTCACCAGCCCATATTTACCATTCTTGTAGTGAGAATATTCAGAGTTTATTCTTAGCAGTTCAAAATACAAGTATTTTAAATAGTCTTTAACTATTTACAGTTCCACTTTCTAAGATTTCAGGCTTGGGAAATATTACCGACAATCATACTTTCAAAACATTAAATGGAAAATCCCCAAAATAAACATTCATGAATTGTTTGTTATTATTTAACTGAGGATAGGATCTCAAAGTTGTCCAGGTTGACCTAGAACTTGGGATTCTCTTGCCTCATCCTCCCATGTAGCTGAGGTTATAGAAATATGCCACCACACCCAGGACAACTTGTTTTAAATTGCACACTGTTTGAGTTGTGTCAAATCTCGTAGTGCCTCCTCCATCCTGGTTGCAATGTGAATGTTCTCTGTCCAGAATGTCCTGTTTTACACTACTCTCATATGTTAGTCACTCCGTGGCCCTGTTATCAGATCAACTGTCTTTGGATCTCTGTGGTGGGCAGCTAACTGGTGGTCAACTTCTCACACCCAGCTGAATTAAACTAGTGTGGTGCTAGGTGGAGAGGCCCACCTCAGGATTGTCACCAGCAGCATAAAAGGCACAACAGAGCTGCCAAAACACTGGGATGCTGTTTGGAGAACCTGCTGATGCTATTGGAAGCTGCTAGTTCCCTTGGGCTGTTCTGCAGGAAGACCTTGTCATGCTAGCTTTCCCGATGAACTTCGGGGGAGTTCTGTTCCTCATCTTGAGCATCTCTTCCTGGCTCCAGAGAAGATGGTGCACTGCTCAGCCTCCTGGAGAAGCTTGTCATATTGGCTTTCCTGATGGGAACTCAGTCTTCTTCATTGCTGGAGGAGGTGGGACCTTCACTGTTGGCTGAGGATGGCTGTGGTACTTTTGGGGGAGCTCTGGTGCTTACCTTGAGCATTGCTTCCTAGCTCCAGTACAGATCCTTCATCTTTTCTGGCTTCCACCCCTGACCTTTGGGCCTTTCCAGCACAGATCTGTGAAGCAGGATCCAGACCCTCGGATGGATTTTTTTATGTATTTAGCACAGGGTCTACAGGGACTGTGTAGATTGGACTCATAATGATGCTCCTGTTTTTCAGCCTCCCAAGTGCTGGAATTATAGAGCATGCACCACCATGCCCAGTCTCAATCAAGGTCTCAGTGTGCCCTAGGAGGCAGGGCCAGCACACCCTTGCATCCCCCTAAGCAGGCACTTTAATCACTGAGCTATCTGGCTGGTCTTTTTTTTTTTTTTCTCTCTCTCTCTCTCTCAGCTGGATTTTTTTACTGTTTAGCATGTAGACAGGTCTCCTGCACTTGCTGTATATGACTTGGGCAATTCCTTATAAACTAATATTATAAAATGTATCCAGTATATTGGTTCCTTTGCAAGAACTCCAAACCGTGACAATCCCTGTGATTGTGTTCAAGCAACCCCTATCAGTAGTGACACTAGCTAGGCATGGTGGACGCTTCTATAATCCTAGCCATCTGGAAAGCTAATGCTGAAAGACTGCAAGTTTGAGCCTTGCCTAGGTGACTTAGTGAGATCCTGTCTCAAACTATAAAAAGGGCTGAGTATATACAGCTCAGTGCTAGTGTCTCTAAGTTTTATTCCCACCATTTAATCACTTTGTGTGTGTTTTGGTTTTTTTTTTTTTTTGCGGAACCGGGGATTGAACTCAGGCCTTTGTGCTTGCCAAGCAAGCGCTTATTCTACTGAGCTATCTACCCAGCCCCAGAAATTCCCTTTCCATGACTTTTCTTTTCTTTTCTTTTTTTTTTTTTTTTTTTTTTGCGGTACCAGGGATTGAACTCAGGATCTTGCACTTACCAGGCAAGCACTTATTCTACTGAGCTATCTCCCCTATCCCCAGAATTTGAAACAACGGTATTAAACTTCATTTTTTATGAAATATTCAGAACAAAATTTTTTTTTAAAGAGATTTATTTATTTATTTATTTATTTACTTTGTGTGTGTGTGTGGCCAGCTCAGCCCTCCAGGGGGCAGGGCTGGCTGGCATGTGGTGCTGGGGGATTGAACCGCGGTCCCTGTGCCTTGCGTAGCTTAGCTTGTTCTAAGTAGGTGCTTTAGACCACTGAGCCATCTCACCAGCCCCTTCAGAACAAATTTTGATTAAATAAGTTGCACAGGTAGGGAAACTTTAATAAGCTACATTATGGAAACAGTGCAGACTATTGGATGATGGTTAAAAAAAAAAAAAAAGTCAACTGACAGTAAGTGTAAAAGATGAGAAAAAAGGACCTTAAACTAAGTATACTTCCTTTCAGGTCTCTTCCCCACAAACTCCCTGGACATTAATGACTTCACTTACTCTACCTGGCAGATGGGCTACATTTCTAGACACGCTGGTCTTCTCCCCAAAGGGTCAGCTTTTCCCTATACCAATAAAGACCCCCCAGGACACAGAGTTCACACATCTGGCAGACACTGAAGCAGTTCCATATATTAATCCCTCCAGCGGTGTCCACATTGGGCATTGCAGCACTTGTAGAAGGTGGTCATCGGCTCATCTGCAGAGCGAGTCTGCAGCTGCATGAAGTAGGCACGAGGATGCTCGCACTTGGGACACGGTTCTGGCAACGAGAAATAGCAAGTGACCCACATTACACATATGTGATGCTTGTGAAGAATACTCCCCTGGGGAATAGGTGAAGCTGACTTGTTCGTCTAGTCTCCCTTGACAACAGTAAATCTAGGGACATTATCCCTTTATGCACTAACACTGAGAAAGTCAAGGAGGCCTGCAAATTTGATTGAAGACCAGATGAAAGCATAACATAGATGGTGATCATCTCAGTCTGTTTTGTAATACTACAATATTGGAACTATAGTCAGAGGCTAGAATAATTGTTTGTTTTTGGGGGGTTTTTTTGATACAGGAACTTTCAGTAGTGCCAGGCTGGCCTTAAATTTGGAGATTAGCTTTCCAAAGCTAGAAACCTCAGATACATACCACCCCCAGCCCCAGCTAAAACTAGAATAGTTTTGTTGGGTTCTTGAAACAGGGTGTTGCTATATATGGCTCAGGCTGGCCTTGGGTTTACTATGTACTCCAGCTAAACTCACACTCATGGTGATCTTCTTGCCTCAGCCTCCCAAATGCTGGGACTACAAGCAAGTACCACCATACCCAGCTACTAGAATAGGTTTGAAGTGAATGTTGAAAAAGTTTGTTATTGTGAATGGAGCAGCAGGCTTCTGGAAAGGATGCGAAATCAAACAACTGTGGGGAAAACTGCTTCTTCCTAGAGATTAGTCAAGAGCTCTAAACAGAATACTGCAGAATAGACCATTTTGAGGAAGTCTTAATGGAATGAGTATCCTGTTGGAAACTGGAGGAAAACCTACCCAGGGATTTCGTACAAGGTAGAACTGAAGAGTGTTGGGGCCCTGTGCAACCTGCCGCTCACTGCTGAGGGCTGCTGCAGGTCTGTTACCAACATTCTTGCAGCCTTCTCCACCAGAACCCCGCCCCCACCCCCTTGGTCTTGGACTTCTTCCCATCCTCCAGAACTTCATATATCATCCAGTCTGTGGTATTCTGTTGGAGCAGCACAAAAGGACTAAGACAGTAACTCATGGCTGGTGTATACTTTGGGGTCAACACCAGGTAGATTCTCCCCAGTAATTTTCTAAACATTAGATGGATGGCATTTTTTCTTCTCAGTGGATGGCTATATCCAGGGAATCACTTTAGCATCAGCTTCTCCAGCTGCTTTAATACAGTAGATTTATTTAACTTTAACTTTTTAACAGATTTATATGTTCTTTTATAGGAAGAAAAGATAGCACTAATTATGAATTAATCATTCTCCCTCTCAAAATGTGTCATATTCTAATCAAAATAAATTGTATTTGTTCTTGTTTTGAGACAAAGTTTCACTATATAGTTCAGGCTGGCCTTGAGCTCACAGCAATCTTTCAGCCTCAGCCTCACTGTGAGGTGGGATTATAGGCATGTGCCACCACACCCACAAAATAAATGTACTTTTAAAGTGGGTAAGAAGGGCCAGCCTGGTTGGGGAGATGGCTCAGTAGAATAAGTGCTTCCCTAGCAAGCACAAGGGCCTGAGTTCAATCCCTGGTTCCACAAAAAAAAAAAAAAAAAAAAAAGGGCCAGGCAAATAGCTCAGCAGATTAAGGCACAGGAACCAGGGGTTCAATCCGCAGTCCTGCTGTACTGGCCCTGCCCCCAGGGCACACTGAGCCCGAAATTGAGAATGGGTGTGGTGGCACATGCCTATAATCCCAGCTCTTGGGAGGCTGTAAAAAGGCAGATCACGGGGTCAGGGAGATAGCTCAGTAGAATAAGTGCTTGCCTGGCAAGCACAAGGGCCTGAGTTCAATCCCTGGTTCCGCAAAAAAAAAAAGGCAGAGCACTACATAGTCTGTCCAGATCTAGTAGTGAGACCCTGAACACCCTGTAGACTCTTCCCTAAAAATACAAAAATAAATAAATAAAGGGGTTAGGAATCCCAGAGCTTGGAAGGCTGGCTGAAAACAGGAGGATCACTATGAGTCTGATCTGTGTAGTGAGACCCTGTAGACCCTGTACTAAATACACTAAAAAAAAATTAAAAAATAAAGGGGGTAGGCTGTAGCTCAGTAGCATATATGACATAAGGGCCAGCCAGATAGTTTAGTGGATTAAAGTGACTGCTTAGGTAGATGGACCCAGTTCATGCTGCCCTGCCCCTGAGGCACGCTGAGACAGTGATTGAGACTGGGCGTGATGGCACACCCCTGTAATCCCAGTGCTTGGGAGGCTAAAAACAGGAGGATCACTACAGAGTCCAATCTGTGTAATGAGACCCTGTACTAAATACATAATTTTTTTTTTAAATTTTAAAAAGACATAAAATATACCAGGCATGGTAGCACATGCCTGTAATCAAAGCACTCCGGAGACTGAAGGTTTGAGTTCAGCTGGGACAACATAGTGAGTTCAAGGCCAGCCTGGAGTACATAATGAAATCTAGTCTCAAAACAAAACACAAAAAATTTATTTTATCCAACTTACACTTTAATCCTCCCTGGTACTAACATTCTAAAACCCATGTTAGAATAAAAATACTCTTTTTGCTAGGTATGGTGGCACACACCTTTACTCCCAGCACTTGCACTGAGAAGGCTGAGGCAGGAAAATTGTTATGAGTTTGAGACCAGCCTGGGCCTATAATAATTTACTCTGAGACGCTAACTCCACAAAGTTTATATTAATGTTGTTTGTGTAACAAATTTCTAATAAAAAGTAAAGAAAAATACACTTCTCATTTTCACAAGCCTATATCATACAAACAGATCACAGACTCTGACATACAGTGACACAGTCAACACTACCAGTTGTCCACTGGTAGCTTGGCAATAGAAAAGGTCTTTCCTCTCACCTGCAGTAGAGTCAACATTTTCCCAGGCTGCTGATCCTCCAAGCACATCATCCACTTCTTTCAGCTTTGGATACTTCCGGTTTGTTACCTAACGAAAACAAACCTGTAGACTCTAAGACAGTGAAGAGTACCAAACATAAGCCACCAAACCACAAATGTCCCCTTAACACCCCCCCCTTCAGTGCCACAAGAAGCAAACAGATTACAAATGAATGAAGTTCCTACTCTCAGAGAGCAACACACCATTGAAATGTAAAGGTTCCCCTGGGATGTTCCCCAAGTGGAAGAAACAGGTTCAGGTATCAAACACCTTTGTAAAGATTGGTAGAAGGAGGGCTGGGGAGACAGCTCAGTAGCATAAGCACTGCCTGGCAAGTGCATGGTCCTGAGTTCAATCCTCGGTACCACCAAAAAAAAAAGAAGTACCAGAGGAGTGGGAAATTAACTTAGATGTGAGCTGAAATCTGCTTAGAAGTGATGCTTGTCTCCCATCCCTCTAAGACATCTGGCAATGCAAGATGAAAGAAACAAAGACAAGGTAAGCCAAGCAGTGCCAGTTAGCTAGCTGGGTAAGCTCAGCCACTACTCAAGGAAGAGAATTTCAAAGCAGGTCACAATTGGTTTCTTTCTCCAATTTTTTTTTTTTTTTTTTTTTTTTTTTCCAGAACCAGGGATTGAACTCAGGCCCTTGCGCTTGCCAGGGAAGTGCTTATTCCACTGAGCCATCTCTCCTGCCCCATCTTACTCCAATTTTATCAGACAGTCTTGAAATTTTTTTTTCTTTTTTCTTTTTTTTGGCAGAACCAGGGATTGAACTCAGGCCCTTGCACTTACCAGGGAAGCACTTATTCTACTGAGCCATCTCCCCCGCCCTTGAAATTTCAAGATTACATAAAAACTCATCTTCCCATAGCTTCATACTCTAGAACCACACAGTCCTAAGGTGCAGTATGTAAACATTAAGAATGAGAGAACAGTAATATATTCTAACTTCTAAAAACCAAGTTGGACTGTAAGGGAAAATTACAAGCTATATATACTATAGTGTGCATCATTCACAGCCTACACTAACCACATTCTAGATTCCATTCTAGGCATTGAGCCCAGAACATAACAGAAAATAAAACAGGAAATCTCTGCCCTCCAACACTCAGATCCTAACATTAATAAACAAGGTATACAAACTACTACATATATTAAAAAGTAATAAATCCCATGAGGGAAGAAAAAAAGGAAGATAATAAACTGGAGGGAGGCGCTACAATTTGAAATAGGGCAATAACCTAAGTAGGCCAAAACGGAGCCGGGGATATACTTCAGTGGCACAGAGCCTGCCTTGCAAGCACCAGGCCCTGAATGAGAGTACCAATAATAATAATAATAATAATAATAATAATAATAAAGGCAGGACACACACAAAGTAGGACAAGACTAATGTGCAACGTGGCTATCTAGGTAGGAAAATAGCAGCACAATGAGCACCATGAGAGATCCTCCAGCCGGCCAGAGTGGCTGGTGCTGGGACAAGCAACGTAGAAAGCGGGCCCAGAAAGTCCTGGGAAACTGCTCTACGTTGCCAAGCACAGTTCCAATTCTAATTTGTTCACTCCAACCACTGTCATGAATACCGCCAAAGGAACCAGCACGGGAGCGCTAGGTCCGATGGGAAGGTCCCCGGTGACCCAGGGGGTGGCCGCGGCCTAGCCAGGGCGACAACACCGAGGGAGGAATGGGTGGACTCCGGGTGGGTCCGAATGGAGTGCGCCAGCGTGCACAGTGGAAGGAGAGGTGAGCGCGCGGACAGAAGCCGACTCGGGACCGCGGAGAGCGGAGGCCGCGGCAGCCGCGCGGTCCCCCGAGTCCCACCTTGCGGGTGATGTTGTGCACGTAAGGGCAAGTGTTGCAGGCGAAGCGGTGACAGCGCTGTCCCTCCTCCACAATCAGCCCGTTCCCACAGCTAGGGCAGAAGAGCAGCATGTTTAGGACTCCGCCGTGTCCCACGCCCGCAGCTCACAAAAAGGGTACCCGCGCCCTTAACCCCTCGGCCGCCCGCACGCTCCCAGCCGGCCTTGCGGTAGGCGGTCCCTTATCTCTTATTGGACGTTGCTGTCTCCCGCCCCTCGGCGAACCAATGGAGAGGCTGACTCGCCGGGGCGGGCTCAATGTCTGCGCATGCGCGCTCCGACTTCCCAGTCGGACGTAATCTGCCGGGAAAGAGGAGACCCTGGAGGATTCGGAGACCGCGCGTGGACCGGAGGGTCTGGAGAACGATGAGGATGAAGAGGAGACGCTGCCGCATTCCGAGGCTGTGGACGTGTTCCAGGAGGGTCTCGCCATGGTAGTGCAAGACCCACTTCTCTGTGACCTACCGATCCAGGTACAGACTGGACTGTACCGGAACCCGAAGACGCCTCAGGGCAGGGCGGGAATTGTAGAAGCCTCTCTCCAGGGTAAACCGCCTTTGCGTTCTAGAGCCTTCCGAATACTGAGGTTACAGGCGTGGAGTACCTTTCCTGGCTAACGGACAGCCCCCTCCCTCCAACACACACACCTGGTGCTGGGAATGGCAGAGCTGCGTACCCTGCCAAACTTACATTCTTCTTCCCCAAGAGAATGCGGGTTTATTCTCCCCACTTGTTGCTTTGTCCTTCTTTCCACAAATGTCTGTTCTCTGGGTATTATATATAAAAATGTAGAGGGCTACGCTGTAGCTCAGTGGTACAGCACTTACCTAACTCAGGTGCAGCCCTGAAATTATCCTGGAACGTGAGGGAGGGTGGGGTACTGAGAAAACCCTCTATTTAGGTAACAGTTCATTCTCTGCCCTTCACCAAATGTGGCATCACATTGTGGCCGCTATCTGTTTTTGCCATTTCAGTAATAGAGGGCCAGGGTTCCCGCCTCAATCTCTGGTCTTTTCTAGGTTACTTTGGAAGAGGTCAACTCCCAGATAGCACTAGAATATGGCCAAGCAATGACAGTCCGGGTATGCAAGATGGATGGAGAAGTAATGCGTAAGTGCTGTCCACTTCCCTTTAACCCTGACCTTGCACCAGGACAAGATATTACCAGAGCTAATCAGTGAGAAACTCGGGGCCATGCCCAGGGGTACCAGAACAACCACCTGACCAATGGAGCAGAGCCAGACAAGTTCTGGATTCCTCTCCTGCTGTCAGTCTTTGGATATGGGTTCCGACACAGGTCTTCTCCCACTTGTGTCCATTCATGGTTGCAGCTGTGGTTGTAGTGCAGAATGCCACAGTTCTGGACTTGAAGAAGGCCATTCAAAGATATGTGCAACTCAAGCAGGAGCGTGAAGGGGGCATTCAGCACATAAGCTGGTAAGTGGAGGAGTGGCCCCTTCATTCTACTCCTTGCTGGGGCTGGTGTGGGGCTGCTGAGGGAAGCAGCTCCATATGTGCATAGTACCAGTGCTCTGCTACATAGTGGCTGCAGTGATGGCATGCAGATGGGGCTGAGGGTTTTGGGGCCTAAGGCTCCTACCTCCACTGTTTCCATGTCTTCTTCTTTTTTTTTTTTTTTTTTTTTTTTTTTGTGGTATTGGGATTGAACTCAGGACTCTTTGTTTGCCAGGCAAGCACTTATTCTACTGAGCTATCTTCTCAGCCCTCCACTGTTTCTAAATTCATTTTGTCATCAGTATCATCCTGCCTACACTGCTGGATTCATCACTTGGAGGCCATCTTTGGCCAGTAATATGTCTGGAAATGGTCTCCCTAGTTAGGGAGTATCCTTACACCTGCCTCTTAGTACCGTCACCTATTTGATCAGCCCAGCCATTCACTCAGTACCTCCTTACAGCTACCTCAGTTCTGCTGTGTACATCGTACAGGAGAAAAGCCCACCTGCCTTTGGCCCCATAGGCATGTGCACATGAACCCCTCATCCCACTGCTCAGCTCCCCCTACTTTGGGTACAATGTGGTTTACAAAATGAGTTTCCTTCTTGCAGGTCCTATGTGTGGAGGACATACCATCTGATCTCTGCAGGAGAGAAACTCACAGAGGACCGGAAAAAGCTCCGAGAGTAAGTTCAGACCATGTCTTGAACTCTAGGGGAGCGTATAGACTGTTGCCCTCTAGTGCTTCATATTCTTCCACTGGGTAAAGCAGGGTGTCCCTGGCAGCACTGAAAGCTCCCACAAGGAGCTTCCGTGGAGCTCTCACAGGCAGAGGAGGAGTTCCAAGGGCCCTGCTGATTCTTTTGATGCCAGAGAGGGAAATGAGAGCAAGCATGAGGTAGACTGCCTGCTGGGGCTTTATGGCCTGGAGGTGAACACCACACCTCCTGGCTTCCCTCAATATCCTGCTCATCCTCATCTGTCCTTTCTAGGTCCTTCACAAGCCTCAGGTTGGGGAATCAAAATCCTTCTGTGGGTCAGACTTTACCCTTTTTAAAAATTTTTCCCAGTTATGGTATCCGGAATCGGGATGAGGTATCCTTCATCAAAAAGCTGAGGCAAAAGTGAACCTCAGTCAAGGGCAACTTTATTCGTGATGGTGGAGCTTTTCCCAGCAAGATGGATTCCCTCCGGTCATTGTCCTCATAAAGTGTCAAGATGACTGCACTCACAGTGTGCCTAGTGGATGCAGCTGTCAGCATGAATCCCGGGTTGGCTGTTTTTGCTTTCCTATGAACTTGACCTGACTTCTTCCTGGATTTAAAAACTGGTTACAGGGCTGGGGGCCTGGCCTTATGTATCATAAAAACCTATTTGCTTCAGATTTTTAAGTCAGAAAGCCACAGTACCCTCTGTGGGAGGGTGTGGATTTGCCTCATCACAGAGGGCAAGTTATGGCAGAGAGCTGGTACGGGTGAGTCTTAAAGTCTAAGAGACCATACCTGAGTCCTGTGACCACACCACATGCCTATTACCATGATCTCCACAGCAACGATTTGTAAATAAAAGCTAAGCAACTGTTTCCTGTTCACGCGTGTGAGAAAACAAGAGCCTATATCCCAGAGCCTGCATGGGCAGTGAGCATGTGACTTAGATATACCTTGGCCTCAGCTCCCTACAGCAACACTTTATCCAGCTCATTGGAAAGGGAAGTAGCATAGGGAGGAAACAGGAGCTGCTGGGGATAGAGGTGGGGCGTTTCCCACTATGAGCATGGGAAACAGTGGCAGTACCTCTGTAGGTCCATGTCCCAGCACTGGCTTACTGGCCCCTCCAAGAAATGGGGGGCAAGGTACACCTACATAACTGCAGGCCTTTAGAGATAAGAGGGCCTATGGCTGCATTTGTCATGGGGGTGGGGGCCAGAACCTATGGGGCCTCCCTCCACTGCCCCAACTAGAAACCAGAAAGAGGACAGCCTCAGTCAATTTAGTGGCAGCTAAAACGCTCCCAGTCATTTTATTGGCCACATACAGTGGTCGTCAAGGGACTAGTTAGAAGATTATCATGGGAATTAGTGTAATAAATGCCCAGCAGTATAAAGGGTTCAACAAAAATGAACAAGGCACAAGAGGTCTGTGTTCAGAAGATGCAAGTCCCCATATAGATGAGGGAGTCCTGCACGCCTGAGGCTAAAGGTGGTCACAGCCACCAGTACCCACAGCCAGCTCAGTGGAGCTGAGCATCCAGCTCATACTTCTCACAGAACTTGTCGGTGAAGGGGATGCAGGTGAGGAACTCGCACCACTCACAGCGGACGGGATAGAAGTAGAAGAGAATCACCAGGCCAGCCAGCAGGCCCAGGAAGACTGCCTGGAAGATGATGATCTGGCAGCGTTTGCGGTATAGGTCAAACTTGCCGAAGCTGATGTAGGGCAGGAAGGCAAAGGAGAGGAAGAGGCCACTGATGAAGCCCGAGATGTGGGCGAAGTTGTCGATCCAGGGCAGCAGCCCGAAGGCGAAGAGGAAGAGCACCACAGCCAACAGCTTGAAGAAAGCACGCCAGGGCCGTGCTAGGATCTGCCAGCTCTGGAAGAGCTCCACGAAGAGGCAGGCCAGGATGCCAAACTGTGAACCGGCTGGGCCCACCTGGGGGCAGTGACAGTGGCTGTGAGCCGGCCAGGCTAAGCAGCCTCCCTGAGCTTCATTTCATCTCATCCCACATCCCAGGGCCCAAAGCACAGTGGACTGAGATCCAATAAAGATTCTTCCAGGATAGACACTTGTGCTCACTGCAGACAGGGTTCATTCATACAGGGCCACAGGCACACAAGAAGGGTCCCTTCCCATGAGGCAGCCTTACCTCTGCCCTGTATGGCAGGAAGATGGCACTAGCCAGGTTGCCGGTGACACCACTCAGCAGATAGATGATGGCTATGCGGTGCCAGCCTGCCAGCTTTTCCAGGTCACGTAAAACAGTCATCTGGAAGCAGACAGACACCAGGCAATGCAGGATCCTGTGGGCAGCAGGAGGGCTAGTTTGGGAGCCACTCAGCAGGGATAATGGCTTCACCACCACCAGCCAACCACTTCTGGGGTCCCTGAGACCCCCTGCCCAGCCCAGTTTCACTTGCCCAGCATGTAGGAAGAGGGACAGCCATAGGCGGTAGAACTGGTCAGGCACCTCGGGGTTGAGGAAAGGCAGGAGACCACACACATCATCCATGCAATGCACCTGTGCAGAGTGGCCAGTCAGTACCTGAAGTGATGGGAGATAAGGAAAGGGACATGCCCTCAAAGCCTACCTGAGAGCAGAGTGTGGCTTCCTCATGGAAGTAGCCTCTCATGAAGTCACAGTACTCCCGGGAGGTGATTTCACACCTGCAAGGTTAGGCCAGGGTTTGGAGGGTGACACACTATTGGGAGAGTGCTGGGGTCCAAGGGTAGAGGCATCTGCTCTTATTACCCGGGCCAACATTTCTGACCCCCACACCTATCCATTTACCTTGTTGGCCCTTTCTCACTCTAAAACCCTTTAGCACCTTGGGTTATTTCAGGACTTGGTGTTTTGTTGGGGTGATTACTGGAGCTTAAACCCAGGGACACTTTACCACTGAGCTACACTTCTAGCCTTTTGTTGTTTTGGTTTTGGCAATACTGCCAGATTGCTAGACAAGCACTCTACCACTAAGCTTATTTTATTTTATTTTATTTTATTTTATTTTATTTATTTTTGGTGGAACTGGGGATTGAACTCAGGCCCTTGCACTTGCCAGGCAAGTGCTTCATCCACTGAGCCATCTCCCTGGCCCCAATAATTTTTTTTTTTGGTTCCTCCAGTGCCTTCAGGGCACTTTTGGCCAGCGGGAGAGTTGTGAGGTTCGAACTCCCGCAACCTGAGGCTGACAGCTTTGTGGAAGCAGCCACTTAAAGGACTGAGCTAGGGCCAGGCCCCCACTAAGCTAATTTTAAGTACTCTGATTTTGAGACAGGTTAAGTTGCCCAGGCTGGCCTCAAGCTTTCGATGCTCCTGCTTTGGTCTCCTGTGTAGTTGTAATTATAGGTGTGTGCGACCATGCAAGCTAAGATTTGGTGAGGGAAAAGTGTACAGTCTAGGACAATGATATTGGCCCAGAAACACGTGCATTTGCATACCTACCTGCCCTTGGTGCCAATGCAGCAAGGCCGGCCTGTTATGACACAGTCCATGTGAGGATGATTGGTGTGGTTCCCAGCACTGTTTTTGGTGCAGATCTAGGTCGTAAATAGGGATGAGCTAGGTCACAGTCTCTCCGAGTTTTTGGCCCCACACCCAATATGGGGGCTGAGGTAGAGATGGACAGTGTGATAGGGTCAGTGGGAATGGGCCTTCCTTAGCTTTTGCAAACTATGATGCCCTAAAGTTTCAGCTGGGCCATTCATTTCTCGAGGTGTGAGAATATAGAATATCATCTGGCCTTCCCAGATCTCTACCTAGATCTCTTGCCTTATTTGCTTGGAGAGTCAGGCCTTATTTAGCATAGACCAGAAACACAGCATCTAAAAATGGGCGGGCTCACATAGGAGTCACATCACCAATGGGTATACTATGGCCTCTTACCCCTATATGACAAGCATGACCCCCCCCAAGATGGCCCCCACTCCTCACCGGCCACTTGGTGATGTCTTCTGGCCATTCGTGGGGATCCTCAGAGGAAGGCTCATCACATACCCTGAGTGAGCCCCATACATGGTCAGAGCTTGCTCCAGCCCCTGGCATTGGCACCTTCCCACCCAGTCCACACCCCTCAAGCAGATACAGACAAAGGCAGGTAAGAGAACAGCAGCAGGACTGACCTGGGATCTTGGTGACAGACAGAGCCAAATTGCCTCTTGTTACCAGCAAGGTCTGGGGTGCTGGGATGCCTGGGCCATTTCACCCATACTGCCAACGTGGACTGCAGGGACACAGGGTCAGCCCTGGTCAGAGGCTGACCCTTGCCTGGTTCAGTCTGAACAGTTTGGGGCTCAGGGTCAGGGGTCAAGCCAAAGCCACAGAGCACTTCCTTTAACTCCACTACTTCATCCCTGAGTTTACAGTACTAAAATGCACTCAGGAGAGATTCTGAGTTTAGCAGCATAATTCCTATTAGTTAAAAAGCAGCCTCTCTCTGTCCTAAGTAAGGAAACATGAACTATACATATCTGATAAAGAGCTCAAAAGGCAGTGCGATCAAAAAGACAAAGTATTATCTAAAGGAAGCAGGAAAAAAAAGGAACCAGGGACAGAGAAGTCAGGAGTAAGAAGTCATGTCAGCCACAGGCAAGGCCTAGTGTGACAGGCAGGTCTGATGCCAAAAGCCAGGGTAGCTGCGTAGTGAGATGCCATACGTTAAGAGCAGGGCCGGGTGTGTTGGCGCATGCCTGTAATCCCAGCACTGGGGAGGCTGAGGCAGGTCTGGGGACACAGCGAAGGGCTGGAGCTGTGCACACACCGAGCACTCCTCCTCTGAGGTCTGCACGCAGCCCGACTGATCATTGCGCACACAGCAGGCAGAGTGCTTCTCCCGCTCACGGGCCGCGCTGATGAAGCTGTGCACCTGCGGATCCTGGCGCATGCAAGGCGAAAACTTGGCACCCAGGTGAATGAGGGCCTCCTGTGAAGAGGGAGAGGGCAGCTGGGGCCTCTGCCCCCACAACCTACCCTGCCAGGCCCCGCCCTCAGCCCCCGCCCTCACCGAGCTGGGGCCGATCCAGAAGTTCTCCTGCTGCACGTACTTGACATTCTCGTAAACGCCCCGGTTCCGCAACACCTGGGGGACAAGCCAGCATTAGACCAGGCTGAGGACTCTTCCTCCCAGGCGTGGCCTGAGGGGGTCCAGAGCCACTCCTCTGGGCCTGGAGCCCGTGAGAGCTTACCGAGTCCACGGTCTCATGTTGCGAGAAGCCAACGGGCGCGATGCCATAGATGCACACGGCTAGAATGGTGACGAGCGAGTGCACGAAGGTGAGCCAGTAGGTGAAGAAGGGCCTGCAGGGCGGAGCGTTAGCGAGCGCATCCCCTGCCCCGTTGGAGCCCTTGCCCAGGAGCCTGTGTACCAGTCCCAGCCTCGTGCCCACCTGTGGTCGTCCATGTCCTCGATCTGGCGCTTGACGTAGCTGTCGATGCGCTTGCGGTAGGTGCGGTTGGTGAGGCGCCCCACCATGCCCAGCCCGTACGGCCGCTTCTCGCGGGCAAAGAGCTTCCGCACGGGCACAGCGATGCGCTGGCCCCTTCGTGGCCCCGCAGGGGTCACCACCTCCTGTCGAAGCCGCACCTTGGGCTGTGTGGCCGCTGTGCCGCCCTCCTTTTGCTTCCGCCAGCCCCGCTCCAGGGGCCTAGGGGGAGCCAGCGTGTTCACCACCGCCTCCCTCCCTATGGTCCACCCCCAGCAGAGCGGAATACTGGTCGGTCTCTGTCCTGCCCTGGCTGTGGACAGGGGGCAGAGCTCTTCTTTACTAGTAAAAGAGCAATGTGGCACCCTTCTGGGGCTCACAAGACATTCTGTACCTCAGCCATATGGGCCAAGTCATGTGCCCCCTCCCTACACAAGTAGTTCAACCCCTGGGCTTTGACATTTCCCAGCAGGCGATAGAGCCCGAAAGCATGCCTAGTCCTGGGTTCCCAGGCCACCAGAAAACTTGCTCTGTGGCAAAGGCCAGCACATCACTCACTAGGGACCAGCAGCTCCTAATAATGCTAAGGTTCTCTCTGTGGCCCTCCCTCGCCTGCCTGTGGTACTCACAGCATCAAGTGGCTGCGCTCCAGCTCACTTCGGTCCAGGGCCCCACCCGTGAGGTCAGGCTGCTCAGGGGCTTTCTCCCAGTCCTTCAGCGCTGCCTCTGATGGGGATTCAAACACTTCATCTGGGTATGTGGACAGCTCCTCGTGGAGGACACCTTCCTGAGCAAACATGTGAGGTCAGGATGGGTGAAGAGATGGAGAAGGGGTGATGCCCCAAGCTCTTCTTACCCGGGCAAAGAAGGATGTGTCCAGCTCATCAGGGAAGTCCACTGTATCCTCCTCGAGGAAGCTGGCAGGAGTAAAGCTTCGGCGCTGTGTGCGGCGCAATGTTCCATCCCTAACAGAGCGGCCCTACAAGCAAGGAAGCAACCTTGAGACCTGGTAGATGGCTTGGTCCCGTACTCACCCATGGCCTCTTTACCCACCTTTACTAGTGCTGCGGCTGCCCGGAAGCTCATTTTGGCCACAGACTCACGCTTGCGTCTCCGAGGGAGCCGGTTGAAACCTGAGCGGGAACTGGAGAAGGAGCAGAGGGAGGCAGCACCAGGCGTGACAGGGGTGTGTGGAGCACTCAGGCCATCAGCAGTGTCATCTGCCATGCGGAAAGCCCGGCCCCGGGCAAGAGGGTCTATGATCTGGCAGAGACAAGGAGATGCTAGTCAGGGCTGGGAATGTACCATAGGAGCTGCCAGCCCACCCAGACCAATAAATGCCTCACAGGGAGAGCTTAGCTGCTGCTTCTCACTCTGAAGGCCCCAGACAGCCACATGGAAATCACCCCACCCACAGCACCTACAGGGATCCCTCGCCCTCAGGATGATCTCTTATCCAAAAGATGGCCCTTATGCAATCCCAGGACTCTGCCTCCCCATCCACTAGGGTTCTTCTTCCCAGATAATCTTAGGTGCCTTCCCAAACATGACTCCTGAGGAGTCCTCTGCTCTGGTAGATGTTCCCAGTCCCAGCCCAGAGAACAATCAGGACCCTGCAAGAGTCAGCAGCAACAGTGTACCTTCTGCATGCCCAGCTGGCATGGCCCCACATATAGTGGAGGTGGTGTCTCAGTACTGGTCAGAGACACATTGTCCTGGCTGGGTAGGTCCAGTTCCCGGATGACCTGAGGCTTCAGTTTCCCATATCGCTGGCTGCAGTGACGGATGCTTTTGCGTTGCCACTTCTGGGTACTGTCACTGTCTTTGCTGACTCCGAACCAATCAGCTGTGCCCCTGACATGGGTGGGACTCAGTATGGGGTAGCCACATCTAGCCCTCTCAGGCAGGGGGTCTCAGAAGGCAACCCCCAGCCAGCATGCTCTGTCCCAGGCTTCTAGGCACTCCAGGGGCTAGGGACTGGATTGGTATAATCTAGTTACAAGGACAAGTAGGTTTCAGCTCTAGCCCCCTCAAATAGTAAGCCAACTCTAATTCCCACTAGAGCATCATCATCAGATCTCAGCCAGATAGGCCATACTTGGGTCCCCACCCTACCCATGAGTCCAGAGGGAGAGCCTGGCTCCAGGCTGTGGCTGAAACCCAGGATACCACAGAACTCAGCAGGTGCCACAGACCCAAGCAGGGTGCCCATATCCCTAAAACATGCAGAGAAACACTGCCAACACCTGTCCTGAGGGGACCCCAGGAAAGGCCAAACACTCTGGCAACTCCAAGAAGCCACATGACATGCACACACCAAAAACCACTCCTGCCTTAGGTACCTGAGCAGGGACCAAGAGAGAGACTGGCGCTGTGGGGAGGCCCTGTGGGCAGCCCGGGGACCTGGGAGGGGCAGAGTGTGAACTCGCCCAAAGTGTACCTGCCGGCTGTGAGGGGCCAGAGAGTTAGGGTAGGGGAGACAGAGGAAAGTAGGTTTGGAGGGAGCAGAGAGAGGAGTGAAGTGAGAGCAGTCAGGCTACAAAGTAGGAGGCCAGGGTGGCATGGAGACCCAGAAAGAGGAATGATATGAGACAGGAGGGTCTCCTGGCCCATTCTCAGCCCCAATGCCCAAAAGGAGATTTGTGTGTTGTCCCACCCACCCACCCCCGACCCCAACTGCCAGTGTGGTACCTGCGGATCGTCTGTGTGATGGATGTTTGCCGCTGCAGCACAGGACGCCGGGGCTCATGGTAGGGTGAAGACACATGGGCTGTCTCAGCAGGCATGCTCACACTCCGCAGGAAAGCCTGGCGTCTTAAGGGCTGGGCAATAGGGTCATGGTGAGCTGCCTGCATGGGCACACACACAACCCCTGCTGCCCAGGGCCTACCTGCAGGAAGCCGGGTTCCTCTGTTGCCTGGGGTACCACAGCTGGGATGTCTAGCTTTAGCCAGGGTGGCTTCTTGCGCTGCAAACTGCTTGTGCTGTCCCTGCGGGCCTCATTCATGGTTCCAGGTGGAGTGAGGCAGGCCTGGGGGGTGTGAGGCATCATTCAATAATTACAATGCTGGCAGATCTCTGAGGACTCACTGTGCCCTAACCAATGAAGCAGCGATAAACCCAACAGTGGTGCTAACAGCTGTCACATCAGAGAACTGCCATGTGCCTCACACTGATATGCTCTGTGCTTGCCTGACTCCTTCCCACAGGCAGGTCCTTGGACAAGATGAATCCACCAGACAGTATTGGAAGCACTTACTATGAGCAAGATCCTTGAAATGATTGACACACACTGGCGGAGCAGGTCAAAATCCTTGCCCTCCCAACCAGAAATAGAGACCTATAACCCTGGCACTCAGGAGGCTGAGACAGGAGGATTACTGGGAGTACAAGGCCAGCCTGGGCTACATAGTGAGTTCAAGGCCAACCTGAATTATATAGCAAAACCTAGGGGGAAAAAAAGAAAATCTCTGCCCTCCTGGACCTTAGATTCTAAATTACAATACTCTTATAAATAAGTAGAAGCGTACATTAAACCTGCATTAAAAGATGCTATCTGGGGGCTGGTGAGATGGCTTAGTGGTCTAAAGCACCTACTTAGAACAAGCTTAGCAAAGCAGAGGAACCGCGGTTCAATCCCCCAGCACGATATGACAGCCAGCCCCGCCCCCTGGTGGGCTGAGCTGGCCACACACATAAATAAATAAATAGTTTTTTTAAAAAAAGATGCTAAGTGTGGCCAAGCATAGTGGTGCATTCCTATAATCCTAGCACTCAGAAGGCTGAAGCAGAAAGATTGCCTGAGTTTGAGGCCAGCCTGGGCTACAGACAAAGACCCTGTCTGAAAAAAAAAAAAAAAAAAAAAAAAAACAAAGCTAAGTATGATAGAGAATAATAAAAGCAAATTACACCTGTTTGGTAGAGGCAGTGAAGCCTCCCTGTGATGTGACAACCAACAAAGGCTTGAAGGTGGCCAACAATTTAAGGTCTGCATATGCACAAACTCCAGCCTTCATTCCACCAACTCCAGCGACATAGACTTCACCATCCTAACCACCATGACTTCCACTCCATAGGCAAAGGCCCACTAAAAATCCAACAGCCTGCATGGAGTGCATGGCCAGTCCTTTGCACGCAGAAGTTGCCACTTTCAGAGAAAGAC